CCCGAAAACGTTAATTTTTCCTGCATCGCACCCAGCTGCAGACAGAGCCAGAGCTCGGCACTGGACCCCCACTCTGCAGCGGCACAGGACCCAGGTGAGAGCCATCTCCCCAAAGTACTGCAACCCGTGCCCCCCTTGAGCACGGCAGCACTGCCTTTTGCACTTGCTGCCACTGGGGTGGACGCTGTCATTGCCCGGATCCAGCCCTCACTCAGGTCCTTTGCAAACTCTTACCTTGCTGTAATAAGCACCACACATCTCCACAAAAACATTATTGTCCACCCACCATAAAGAGCGAGCGGAGCAGTAACATCCAAGTACCTGATGTTACTGTGCCCCAAGAACGTTTCTCCTTTTCCTGCTCACTGCAAAGCTGTCCCAGCAAACACAAAGCCAGCTCCACACCCATGCCCATCACTCACCTCCGTGCCTCTGCTCCAGGGACTCCTCTCTGGACACAGAGCAGCCTGGCCCCAGCGGGACGCAGACAGGACCCGACCTGAACTGGATGGACTCGGGCCCGGCGTTGACCTTCATTGGCCACCAGGTAGGGTGACCCCCTAAAGAGCGTGACTCAAATTTAACTGCTCTGTGTCACTTTGTAACAGAATTCCGTACGGGGAGGGAATGCACTTAACACCTGTTTAGAGATACTCTGAAAAGCCTCAGTTTCTCACTGGTGTTTCTGTTTCTGTGAACAGGAGAGCGAAGGGAAAGGAAACGTTCACACCGGTAACTGTTCCAGCTGGGCGAGAAGGGGGACGGGGCTGGGGCTGCCTGTTCCCATCCCCAGCTCGGGGTCACGTCAGCGGCTGAACGCGTTTTCCCCGTGACTTCTAGGAGCAAAACCTCCGTGGTTGACAGAGGAAGAGGAGGAAAGCAAACAGCAAATTGGGCCTTCCTATGAGGAATTTCTCAAGCAGAGTGAGTGGGTTGTACACGCTTGGTTAACCTTAGTCACTTTACCCCATTAAACAATCAAACCTGACCGGAAAACCTTTTCTTCACACACCTCTTCCAGAGGAGAAGCAGAAGCTGAAGAAGCTGCCAGCGGAGCGCGTCGGTGCCAACTTCGACCACGGCTCGCAGACGGGCGAGGGCTGGCTGCCGTCCTTCGGGCGCGTCTGGAACCACGGCCGGCGCTGGCAGTCCAGGTGGGCTGTGGGGCCCAGGGGGGCGCAGCGCTGCCGTGTGCGTGCGGCGAGGTGCGTCCGCTGCCTCCTGCTAAGGGCAGTTGTGCTCTGACTGCTACGCTGTCTTTCAGGCATCAGTTCAGAACCGAGTCGGGGCAGAAGAAGAAGAAAAGGTGATGAGGACATGGAGGAATCTGAGCTGCGGCTGCCGTGGGAGGTGGACCAGGGGC